GCGCTTTCCTCTGGGCTTCCTCTGGTGTCTCTTGTGGTCTTCTCCTCTCATAGTCCTCTGTCTTCCTCTCAGTCGCTCCGCTGCTGTCCTCCAGTCTCTGAGCGACGCCATCATTATAACCTCCGCCTCCAGGCTCAGGTGCGCCCACTTAAACGCGCCCACACCACGCTCCAGGTGTCCACCATCAGTCGTGCGTACCCTGCGCCCACGCTCCCAAGCGTTCTTGCATTAGCACAGTCAAGACCACAGGTGACAGCCAGAGACCCAGCGGACGTAAAAGCCTAATTTGCTTACCCTACAAAAGGCTTGTGTAAAAATGCAAAGATAGATTATAGAAAGTTTTAGTTCCAAAATATGGAAATGGAGCAATTTCAGAAAAGATTTCCCTGGTGAGAAATGCCTCACACAGGCACAAAGAATTTAAGTTAAAATTTTGAGTTTAGGGGCCCTTCCTGGTGGTGCAGCGGGTTAAAGTCCAGCACTGAGAAGCTAAAGCCACTGCAGCATGAGTTTGCTCCCTGGCCAGGGAGGTGACCCACATGGCATGGAAGACCTCTCCTTACCCACCTGCTGCTCCCCTCAGCAGTGTCCTTCGTCAGTCGGCCTGTTCTGTACCCCACTCTATCTCTGGTGAATCCTCTCACCGCCCCTGCGCCTCTGGCCTGTACCCCAGTTCTGTATGCATAAATAAGTAAATCTTTTTTTTTTTAAAATTGACTTTAACATCACATCCATTCATTCCCCTGCTGAACTAAATGATCAGCCACATGTTCTGGGAAGAGAGGGGTTCACTGTAGGAAATATTCCCACAAGTCACCCAGAGACCCTATGAGGCACTTACAGAAATCCCCATGACCAGTGATGATAATCCAGACCGGATTATGGAAGAAAGAGAGGAGAATTTGAGGTTATTACCCCTAGCAGAAGAATTGGGAAGTGGCCAAGAGGAAAAGCCCTCTGTGAAAACAGAAATAATTTTTTTTTTTTTTGCCTCTAAAGCAAAATTTGCCCATGGTCCCTTTCCAGCATCATCTTCCTCTGTTTGCCTATCAAGTTCACTCTGCTAGTACTTCTAGATTCTTGTTGGGGTTCCTGTAACCAAGACTGATTAATACGAGAAACACAAACATGTTTATTAACATGCACATCTCATATTTACACAGGAGAAACCCTGGCAAATAAGTAATTGGAGAGAGAGCTTAGAATTCAGGCTTTAAAATCATCTTCACCTAAAGCAAAAGAAGGGTGTAGGGGAGGCAAGAGAACTATGGCAAACAAGGAGCAGGTTTGTTTGGCAGCCCTATGTTGGCACCTTCTCCGTTTATATAAGTAAGTGTCTTGTGCTTTAGGGCCTTCCTGGTTCAGAAAAGGGGAGACACTTTCAAAATGAAACCTTCCCTTATAAATGAAATTTCTCTTAAAGGGTAACTTCTACTCTGTTTTCAGAACTTTTTCTGTGTACTGTTTCTCAAATTAATCAGCTCCAATGATCCTTATATAAAGAGTCCTGGGGTCTCCACCAGCCAGTCTGATGGCCTTGCTGTCCTTGACTATCTGACCTGGGAACCTGGCATTTCCCGCCCCCCACCAAGACAGCCATATTCCTTGCTTGCCCCCCCCCCACTTCTTAAAGGTTTCTGCTCCTCAGAAGCTTCTTCTGACCCACTGTGTGAGGGTCCCTAAAGCTACCCCTTCGGTTTGCTTATTCCCTAGGAGGACTCCCGGGACTCAGCAGAGTCATGTTTATGGTAGGATTCACTACAAGGAAAGAATATAAAGCAAAATCAGCAAAGGAAAATGGTGCAAGGAGGAAAAGAGGAGCAAATCCCCAAGAGCCCTCCCCTTGCACCTCAGACAGGAGTGCCCGGCGTGTTTTGACAATACGCATGAGACATTGTCAGCCAGGAAAGCTCATGAGGGACTACGTACCCAGGCTTTTATTCTGAGGCAGCCACACATAGTCTCCCCTTGCCTGGCAGGTCTCCCATTCTTCGGGAGGGAAGGCAGCTGTTCAGCATATGTGATTTTGTTTGCAGAAACAGTTTAGGCACGTTGGGTTACTCTTATCAGAGTACTTGAGAGTTCTCCCCAACTCCAAGCTCCCTGACACCAGCCAAGGACCAGCCTGGCTGTCGGACTTTAACAAGGCTGGCATCGGCTCAGGCTCAACCCCACGTGCCAACTTATCTCAACTGCCCCTTCCCTGCAATCCTTCTTTATTCCCTTACCATTTCCCCCTTTTTCACTAATTAACTGACTGAAGTATTTATTGTCTGTCTCCTCTCACTGGAATGTGAGCTGATGATAATAAGATCGCTGATTATTTGCTGCTGTATATGGCCAGGGAAGGATAAGAGTTGAGGTGCCAGGGCACAGGACCCAAGGAGGCATCACCTATGCTCGCTTGCCTCACCCTCCCGCTCGGTCTGCAACACATAAAGTTGGAGCTCTATGGACACTGTTTTTTGAATAAGTGGGTGTACAGAACAGGAATGATGAAGGGATGTTGCAAGCGTAACTGGAAATTAACATGAATGGTTAAAAGATAGCTAACATATTCATTTTGTTTTCCTGCTTACTACTGACGGATGCTCTAGAATGAAAGGCATATTTAATATCCTAGGAAATAGTGGACAGATTCTGAAAACAGAGAGAATTCTAATACATTGTTAAGTTTGACTATATGTACAGAATTCTTGTTTTATTCTATCCATTGAATTTATCCCTGTTTTTAGATTTTAAAAGATAAAAAAGATGCAAAGATCCGGGAGCTTGAGGCTAGAGTGAGTGATCTGGAACTGGAAAAGGTAAAGCTGGTGAATGCAGGTTCTGAGCGACTCCGTGCAGTGAAGGACATCAAGCAAGAGAGAGATCAATTGTTAAATGAGGTGAAAGCTAGTAGGAATGAATTAAACAGTCTTACAGGTAAGTTGCTTCAGTCCAAATTCTGCTAACACATAGGGGTGCTGCTGGTGCCGTTCAGTGTGGGTACCAGAGCTCTTGCTAAAGAGTAGTTCCTCATTCCACTTTATAAATCCACCGCTCCAGTGAGCCTCCTTGGGGAATAAATCCCCAGTTTTCCATGAAGAACATTCACAATTTCACTCAAGAACCAGTATCTTTTACTATCTCTCAGAGTTCATCAAATTCTCTACTGAGTTTCTGAGAAAAGGGTGAGGGAAGTGGAAATTTAAGTCCTTGGCATCAGATTACTTGATTGGAAGTTTAACAGTGAAGCAATATGTGCCAACAGCCTTTACAAATTTATTGAAAGGAAAAACCTAAAATTTTAAAATGAAGCATTTCTAGTCCACAGTTAGTAGGCACAAGTGACATTTTTTTTTTTTTTACGCAAACACAGAGTCCTGAGCATTTACTAGGTTAGATACTAAGAAGGCCTTCTAAATGCAGCAGTGAGGCTCCCAGCGAGTTGGGAGAGAGGCAGAATGGGCCGGTGCTGGGTGCAGGTTTCAAGGCAGGTGTACTAGGTTTGAAGGAGAAAAGGAACTTAGCAGATGAAAAGATATGGAAGCACAATGCAAGCAGAGAAATAGCAAGCGAAGCGTGAAGGCAGGAAATAACATAATGTGACTTCAGAAGGGTTCGTTGGAGTAAAAATGCAAAAGGGAACGAGGACTAAGGACCAAGAGATAGAATCAGACATTATGGAGGCAACAGGAGATGCTAAGTAAGAGATGAATGATGCCAGTAGGTAGCCAGAGAAAGGCAAGGCCACAGGGCCAGAAGCCAGTCAGTTAAAGAAGATTCTGCCGAGGCCCTAGAGGACTCAGATGAAAACTGGAACTAAGGCACTGGCAGGGAGAATGAGAGGAGAAAAAAACAATAAAGAATATGTTTGATGACAAAATCAATCATATTTAGTGATCAAGGACTTGGATTTCAGGCTTTTACGTGCAGTATTGGGAAAACAAGGACATCAACAACTTGAGGGAGGGACGTGGGGAAGAGTTGGCGTGAGGGCAGTGGGTGGGACATAGTGTGGGACAGTTAGTGTGGATACTACTGGGTCATCCATGTGGAAATTTCTGGAAAGACAGAGTTTGATCTTGGCAATAAGGTGTTGGCTCTGTTGTTTTTTGTTTGTTTTTTATGAAAATCTATCATATATAAATATGATTGAATAATAGCTGAATAAGAGTGTATGCATTATTTTTATATGCAAATGGCGAGTTCATTCCAGGTATTTTGATAGTTACTGGAGATAAATAGGTAAGAGGCATAGCTGTCTTGGGTTACTGACCATGTCATGAAGAATCATCTACCTATGGATGCGGTTAAATTTGTTATACTGGCTGAGACCATCCAAGAAAGTTTTAAGATGAAATAGATGTGGGTCAACTGCAATGGGTAGGGGAAAAGCAGTGAATGGTAAGTGGCGGAGGAGAAGGAGCTGTCCAAGCAGGTTAAAAATAAAGAGTCAAATCCCTGGAAAAGTCTGTATACATTTAATTTCTTAGCCTATGACAATCTAACTAAATGGAGTCTCTCTCTGCCTACTCTAAAGTTTTGTGATCATTTACTATAAATAGTGTACTTCATAAAAATGAGAAAAAGTAACCATCTATTAATTTTCACATTGTACAGAAGACTACGAAGTTTTAAAAAGGAATTTTCGAAACAAAAGTGAAGAAATGGAAACTACTACGAATAAGCTGAAAATGCAATTAAAATCTGCACAGTCTGAACTAGAACAAACCAGAAACACATTAAAATCAATGGAAGGATCTGATGGCCATGGTAGGCTTTATTCCTTGATTGTTGCTTTAGTCTCATTGTCCAGATTTATAAAACACAAACCCGGAGACCGTCGCCTGCACCTCTTCCCAGTGTCAATGACTGAGACATATCCAGCAACAGTGTCAGTACTGGATGTTATAGCAGTCATTCTACTAAGCCTTCTTAGAGAAAGGCCCTGTGCTTAATTTAGTCCTTACCGTGCCCAAATCTTTCTTTTCTTGTAGCTATTGCAGTGGTTTCTAACACATTTCAATGTCTGCTAATGTCATTTTTTTAAGGAAATGTTGATAGAAATGCAAGTTACAGATGACTTTCAACCCCTTATTTTCCAAGCATTCATTATCTACAATAAATTATCTGCAGCTAAGTGTCAGTTTCTGATGCCTTCACTGTGGTTAAAAAAAAAAAAGGAGACCAGAGAATGCACTGTTAGGCAGAGTCTCTCCTCAAACTTAGACCTATTCTTGTTTACATTGTTGTCCATAGACATACAGAAGTACAGAAGAAGCTACTGCTGTTTCATATTATATTGTTGTTGCTATACTAGCTGGCTATAAGAATTAATACTTATCTAAAGCCTATCTTTTTCTTTAAAAAAATATTTATTTAGTTATTGCATGCTAGAACTGGGGTACAGGTCAGAGATGTGGGGAGTGAGAGGATTCACTAGAGACAAAATGGGGGATAGAACAGGCAGATTGACAGAAATACACTGTCAAGGGGAGCAGCAGGTGAGACAGGGGAGGTCTGCTGTGTCACATGGGTTACCTCCCTGGCCGGGGATCTAATTCGTCCTGGTGGCACAATGGATTAAAGTGCAGCACTGTGAAGCTGTCCAAAGCCACTGCAGCACTAAATCTAACTTTTTCTTAATAAGTTTTAATATCAAAAGATGTATTTTTATGTTCATTTTAGCAGTACATATCCTGAAATTGTCCTAATACAGAGAAGATGATCATGCCCCTGCACAAAGATGGCATGCTGAAAATTGAAGCAATCCATATTGTCATCTTGGAGGGCCAGTTCTTTCATTGCTGGTTAATACCAAGAAGAGTTGCTCACGAGGCCCATTTGGACCTGTCTTCTGTCTTAACCAGACAGTCTCTTTCTTAATGCCCTCTCGATAGCTCCATAATTGCTCTACAATTTACAATCATTACATTAACTTGGTAATCCTGTACTTTCACTCAAATGTTTATTTTTCATTGATTAAAATCAGTCTAAAATAAGATGTATATCTTTTCAGTGACTTTCAGTAACTTAAGTATTCAGTGCCCTCCTAAAGGCTTTCTCAGCCTTTCACCAACTTTATAAAAATAACCACATATGTGGTACATATACACAATGGAATATTACTTGGCAATAAAAAGATAAACAAATGCCTTTTGCAGCAACGTAGATGGAGCTGGAAGGAATCATCCTTAGTGAAAAAAAAAAACAGAAAGAAAAGGAAAAAAAACAGATGGTTTCACTCATAGCGGGAACATAAAGGACCACGGGGGAGAAAAAAAAAGTAATGAATGACTATATACCAGAGACATTTTACAGGGCTGTTGTGGGGAATGGGATCAAAAATGGGGGGTAGGGGAGGAAGTGCACTGGACTATGGTGATGGCACATGGGTGATTTGATGATGGGAAGCCCATGGGGATTACAACTGAGATGGAAAAAGGCACAAAATGATGTAAAATTAAACTATTATGTTTAAAAAAAAAACACATATGTACTCATATGTACTCTTGTCAGACTGAGACAATAGTGATATCCAAGCACTTAACACTAAACTTAGAAATGAAAATTAAATAATTAGTGATACCACTGGAATCTTTTTGAAAAACTACCATAGGTATAAGTTTGGTCAGTATTACTGTTACCACTGATAAAACAAATTACAATAGTAAAATTAATTCAGTAACACAGAAATCACAAGACAACATCATGTGTGTGTTTTTTTTTAACCTCAAAATCTCTGAATAATTGCTGAACATTGTTATATCCCATTGCCTTCAAATCAGAAGACCCTTTTGCATGATCATTCACTTGAAACTGCCAGGTACCCTGTAGGATTGTGTCACCTTCTCATTTTATTTAACCATCAAATTAGAGTAGCCTCCCAGAATTTAGAACTAAGGCACAGTTCACTTCCTTTTTTTCTCTCCTAGCAATGAAAGTGGCAATGGGTATGCAAAAGCAAATCACAGCTAAAAGAGGCCAGATAGATGCCCTTCAGAGCAAGATACAGTTTTTGGAAGAGGCAATGACAAATTCCAATAAGGTGAGTACTTGTTTAAGTGAAGGGGATTAATATGTTCACTCATTAATATATTACAAGGCATAGCAAAGATACAAAGTACAGTAGAGAAAAGAAATTAATTATGCCTAAGAAAATGAGGGTAAAGTTTCTAAAGGAATACTTGAGCAGGTTCATAAAAGAACTAGGGTTTTAAATGCAGGAAATGGGCAAGGCACAGGAAAAGAACATTCCTGATAGATACAGGGAATGATTAGAGACAAAGCAAAGTCATTTCGCATATAATACGACATTTGTGTTCCTAAAATGATTATGCCCTGCAAAATTGCCCAATAAAAACAACTGGGCTGATGGGGGTAACAATTAGGATAACCAGGCTAACAAATTTCATCAGTGACTAAAAAATAGGAACTTAGTAAAAATGGTACCACAGATTTACATATGAAGAAAAATATGACTATAACATGAATAATTATGTATAACTATTAGTTTAATTATTATGTAATATAATGCTTTAATGCAATTCATAAGTTCTATTTTCTATAATAAAATTAATAAAATGTAGCATATATTTATAATTCATTATAATGAATAAATCATATAAATGGGAATAAGTATGACCCTTTAATCTTAAAAAAGATCTGGAGTCTGCTTGAGGAAGTGTATGTCAAAAGGTTGCAAGCTTGTGAGTTATTTTCTGTAATACGGCAGGAGGTTACTGCCTGCTGTCATCAGAGGTGCCACAAAAGCTATTCATTCAAGCTCAATTGCATTCCTGCAAACAAAAAAGAAAGCAGCTTGTAAAATTAATCCTTCCTTCCTTTCTAAATCCTTTTTGGCCTAACATAAAAGGAAAAATATTTGCAACCAAGATGTGTACTACAGTGATTATGCATCCTATTTTTGCTGACAGCAAACATTTTCTCTCTATGCAAAAAAAAAAAAAAGCTATATATTTAATATATGGACTTCAAGTAGCTGAGACATATATATAGTTTTTAACTTGACTACAACATATTTTTGTCTATCTATTCCATGGTCCTATTTTAAGAATTGAGCTAATATTATTAAAAACTTGTTGAATATTCCAATTTGTTGAATATTCCACCTTGTTGAATACACCATTGCAGTAAGCTCCTTCTCATCACTGGACCCACAATGGCTTGAAAGCAGGAAATTTGTGTGTGTGTATCCCATTTTTTTTTTAAACATCAGAAGGTATGCAGGAGGCATTTATGAAATAAATATTTAAGCTTAAAGTGAAATAGAAATCCATAAAAGCCTTCAAATAAATCCACCTTCTTTAGATTTCTTCTGTCATTTTAAACAAGCTCAATAAAATTTGGTATGTTTTACTCAGTCTTAATTCCCCATAATATTGTTTTCTTTTATGACAGCATTATTAGTACATATTTTATAGTTTTCACTAAAAATTAGTTAAGCTTAAGAAGAAGCAAAAATACTTGTAGTGATAAAATTAAAGCAAATTTATGGTAACATAATTCCAGCAGCTCCCAACTCCAACTCAAAAGCAAACAAATGGCATTTTTAAAAAGTAAGTTCAGATCTACATATAACATTAAGAGTTTAATATTGTCACCACATCTCAGCAAAAAGTCTATGCAAGCATATTATTTTTGTTATTTTTTTCTTCTCTATAAAAATAGGAAAAACATTTCCTGAAAGAAGAGAAGAATAAATTAAGCCAGGAATTAAATATTGTTGCAACAGAAAAAAGCAAGATGGCAGGAGAACTGGAAGTCCTGAGGTCACAGGAACGCCGTCTGAAGGAAAAAGTTGCTAATATGGAAGCTGCTCTTGATAAGGTGGTGAAGTGAATCTATAAAGTAGTTATCAACTAAATGGCTGTTAATTAAGCAGAATTAAGTAATATATTAAGTAAATCTATAAAGTAGTTATCAACTAAGTGGCTGCTGTTAATTAAGCAGAATTGTCCTGAATGAAAGCTGCATATGGATAGAACCAAATCTCTGATTGTATCCCAATCACCTAGCACAATGAAAAACTATTCTACAGAGAAAGCTCTTCTGAGATTAAGAACATAGTCGTGATGAGTACTTTTTATGAAATTCTCTTTTCAGGCTGCCATGATCTCAGAAGCAGTAAGATATAAGTTACTTGCTACTACTGGTATCCTTAGAGGCTAGGGTAACTAAAAAGTCCTCCAATCCAGTCACCGAAGAATCAATTGAACACTAGGTAGAATATAGCCGGGTTGATAATAAAATAGCAAGTAACATTTATGTCTGGCACCTTGTGCCAGGTAGCAAACACAATTTTAAAAATAAGAAGGATCAATGATACTATATTTGTCGTTATCATTTATTATAGAGGAATAAAACTCTGAAAGCCTAAAAATGTACCAAAGTAGCCCTGGACTCTGATATCGAAACTTTTGTGGTTCAATAAAGTGATGTTATTCCAACTATATACCAGTTGATCTTAAAACATGATATATTGAGTCAGTGAATTTCAATTATGGTTATTTTTACACAATTGATTTTTACATTGCTAAAAGTAGACCTACTCGCTATTCTCTACTCATGAAATGGTGCATAAACGCTAGGAATGCAGGGCTAAAGGTAAGCCTCCTAATTGCAGTTTACTGCCTAAAACAGATTAATAAGAGCATAAATGTTGTACAGTGTACTAACATTGGAGAGAGTTTCCTTGAAGAGATGATAGTGATACAGATTTAGGTTAGTGACCCAAGAGTGCTTCAGGAAGAGTAAGCATAAATCATATGTGGTTGCTTGATTATAGGCATCTTTGCAGTTTGCAGAATGTCAAGATATAATACAGCGTCAGGAACAAGAATCTGTACGACTAAAACTTCAACACACTTTGGATGTAAAAGTAAGGCCTTGTCTTCATCATAAGTAAAAGTTTAAGCAAAAATAAAGCCTTTACTCATAATATTTTCCCATGTACCTTTGATATATTTGGGTATACCTTTCAACATAATCAGTTACTAGCAATTATAAAATCTGTGCCTTGTTTTACACTGTAACCTACAGTATCAAGGTGGAGTATCAGTTTTTATGTCAAACTTACAATAAATGAGGGAAGGAAACATAAATTTGCCCGCCTAGGGGGGGGGATATTTGCAAAGGGTTCTGCGTTCAACAAGGTCAAGCCCATGCAAAGGCCTAAATTGCTTTGGCTTGATAGTAGAATAGCATAATGATGTAATTTATATAAAAAATTCTTTAAAAATAGCACATTTTCAGGCCCTCCCTGGTGGCGCAGCGGGTTAAAGCACAGCACTAAAAAGCTTAAACCACTTCCGCATGAGTTCGATTCCCGCCTGCCCCGGAGGTGACCACATAGAAGCCGCAGACCTCTCCTGACCCGCCCGCTGCTCCCCTCAGCAGTGTACTTCGTCGATCTGCCTGTTCTGCTCCCCACTCTGTCCCTGGTGAATCCTCTCACCCTCCACATCTCTGGCCTATACCCCATTCTGAACAAATAAATAAATAAATCTTTAAAAAATAATAATAAATAAATAAAAATAGCACATTTTCCACTGATAAATATGCCTATTCCTGAGTACGTTTTAAAGTTACGTACATGTTAACAGTCAATAATGGATACTTCCTCCGGCAAGCACTCTGTTGGTACAGAGGACCTTTCTCAGTAATGTGTCAGAACTGAGGGAGAATCTTTGGCAAAGATGAGAAACCTGTTTAGTAGCACAGCGTCCTAGGTGTGTTTTCTTGTTGCTTTCAACAGGCAACCGTGAAGACATCTCCTAACTACATACTTAGTCTTCACAGAGTAGACAGAGTCGTCTTGCTTAATACTCTGACTTATAATTTTATAGGCATTTAACATGCAAGACTGAATTGTTTCAAAAATTCACTTTTATTTTATAATTGGAGTTGTAGATTAACAATTATTTTGCTCACATCTATTGTTTTCCAGGAACTTCAGGGGCCTGGATACACCTCAAACCCTGTGAAACCACGCCTTTCTCAGTCACCATCCGTGGCCTGTCCTCATTCTAATGTGGCATCTTCCCCATCTACAAACAGTTTCCTGTCTCATGTAGGTAGCCAATCTTATAGCATTTTTATTTATACTTACATTTCTCTATTTCTATTTTCACTCTGTTTAAGGTATTATACAGAAAGCCTGATAAAACCCTCATGATAACCACAAAGCAAAAATCTCAACTACAGATACTTAAAAGAAGAAATGAAGAAATCGAAAGAAGCTCCAGGGGAAATCAATCAAATAAAAAGTAGGGAGAAACAAATAGAAAAAGAAACAACAGAAAAATAAAACAAGTGAAAACTAAAATTACTCTGAAAAACAAAATCCTTTGAAAATGGTTCACATCCAGGTGTGGTGACTAACCACCAACTGGAAAGACCAAACTTAGTATTATGTGTGTTGTACCGGTGAGAGTAGGAAGTGGAAGGGCATGTGAGGGTTAGACTGGTAACACTAACACTTAGCTGGCATGGGGCGTAGAAAACTAAAGTCCAAAGAACAAAAATTTTGGAGTGTTCATCCCTCAGCAACAAATCCGTGTGTCAAGTATAACTCTACTTTGGGACAGACAGGTGTGGCTAACATAGCTTGATGATGCTTGATGACAACCTTCTAGCCATGACTGTCCAACTGAGCCCTCCTGCTCATTGAAGCAACTGACTGTCACTTGGCTTCCCTTCTAGATGTGTCTACTAGGGACATCTATACTCCTTATTACAAGTATTCATGGAGAAATACTGTTTATCTGAAAATCTTTTAATATTATCCTCAAACACCAACTAACATTGTGAAAATATTGAGTGTCCTTTTCATCACCAGGAAAATGTGGAAGCTTGTCTATTAAAAGTTTTTAATTCTAAATTTTTTAGCTTTATAAAATTAGTTCAGCCCTAAACAAAGAGTAGGAGTTTTTATTGGCCTGTATATAGTTGTAAATAGTTAACAACATGGTAAGATAGTCATACTACATTGTTAACACAAACAAAGGTTTAAAAAAAGGTATTATGGGCCCTCCCTGTGGTGCAGCAGGTTAAAGAACAGCACTAAGAAGCTAAAGCCATTTCTGCATGAGTTCTATCCCTGCCTGCCTCAGAGATGACCACATGGTGAGGCAGACCTCTCTTGACCCACCTGCTGCTCCCCTCAGCAGTGTACTTCACGATCTGCCTGTTCTGCTCCCCACTCTGTTTCTGGTGAATCTTCTCACCACCCCTGCACCTCTGGCCTGTACCCAAGTTCTATATGAACAAATAATCTAAAAAAAAAAAACTGGTATTATTTGATGCCACATGTACACTCTATAAATATGTGTACAAATAGATTAAGTATCCACTGACATTATAAAGTAGACAGAGCATTGCATTAACTTTTGAAAGGTTATTACTGATTATCCTTGAGTAGTAAATTACAGGTAATTTTTCTCTTCCTTCTCCTCCACAACTTCTATTTACCAGATGAATTAATTTTATAACTGGAAACAGCATACAAATCTGAAAAAAAAAGTTAATTGCTTTTGTAAATTGTTTTAATTCAGCACTCTATGAAACCTAACATCCTGAAGGAAGACCCAACAAGGGACCTAAAACAGCTTCTCCAGGAGTTGAGAAGTGTGATCAATGAGGAGCCCCCTGTGTCTCTGGGCAAGACTGAGGAAGATGCAAGAACGCCATCTTTGGGCGTCTCCTATGGGACTGTGTAAGACTGCGGGTACCTCACAGTGGGAGAGCCGCCCCTGTCAGTCGTGTGCCCAAAAGTTGGCTGCATGTTAGTCCCTGGGAGATTGAGGTTTAAATACCTTAGAGAGTGTCTGACACTACTAAGGAAAATAATATGAGTTAAAAAAAAAAAAAAGGTAAAAAAACTGTAACACAGTTTTTCTGTTCAGAAAGTAGTCAGGGCAAGGCATTACCCAAAATTACATTTGTGTGGTGATTTTAGATTTCAACACATTTCACATCCATAAATTTAGTCATCACAACTGTTTGAGGAATTTTTTAAATCCAGATTTACAAATGAAAAATACACAAATTCCAGAAGATTGACTTTCCTGCCACCACCCAGTTTGATGGTGGAGCTAAAAACTAGACCCCGGAGAATCAAATAACTCTCCAGGTATGAGCTTATACGATAGGCCCTGCTTCTCTAGGTATGTAGGCCAAAGGCTTGTATCAAGCTAACAGATAGGCCAAGATTCAAAAAAGATTCAACCAGTTCCTCATCCTTTCTCTGTGTGGAAAGCAATGAGATCCTCAACTCATTTCAAATCATGATTTAGCAAATAAGTAAGACTTCTGAATAATCTTACATTTCAACAGCCTTCAGTTTTTTTTAATATTCAATTTTATTTTATCCCAAGGCAATAAAGTATTAGATGATTTATCTAATCTTTATTAATAATATTGTAGTAAGAACAAAATATTAGTTACAACCTAGTTACTAACATATTGTTGCATTCTCTGGATCCCATGTCAGAATTATTCCTTGGATCACATCAAAGAATAGTTACACATGCAAAAAACACTTGCATTTTTGTCAGAACTCTATAATGTGCCTTCTGAGCAGTGTCATTAAGCTCAGTTAGGGGACAAGTGAATTTAGGCATAGATTGAGCAGCCTTATCCTATGAAACAAAGAGACAAAGATTAAAGTAAATGTTAGAGTGCCTGGCTCCTGGTAGTAACCATTCCACAAGGTTCCTCTAACTTCCCCAATCACAATTCCATCACTTCAATAACTAACATTGGACTTGAACTACATTAGGATTGAATTTGTATACATTTGGCCCCTGACTTTAGAGAGTTTATGTTATTTTAATGTAATACTACAAATGGCCTCTTCACCAAATCCTAAACTCAGCCTAAAGTTTTGAAGAGCTCATAGAACAAAAGCATTTCTAAGTTGATGAGGGTCAGGGGTAGCCAGTGGCAAGTGCTTAGAGACCTAAACTGTAATTTACCTTGAATAAGAGTTTAATACATATTAACAATTAATTATTCTAAAAATACATGGAATCTGGAAATTACTCTTTGTAGAATTAACTGAGGATTATACTTTTCTATATATAGAGATGATAGAGGAAGAGATTGCATGACTGAATCAAGCCTGAGAGTAGAGCTATGTCATAGGTAAGAACAATCTGAGATTCTGAATCTAATAAACTGTCCAAGAATTTTTTATTTTGCCCAGGTAACTGGGGAATTTTGTTTGGATAGTGTACATGGCAATTAATTGACATCTTGGGGTTCATTGAAGGAAAGTTGTTAGATTGATTAGCTGAAACTAGAAATTACCTTAATGGGCATTTCCTTTTTTAAAATTATTTAATTTTTCATATGTTTACCCATATGAAGATATTTCATGGCATGCCATAACAAAAAAGGAAGATTTTTTTCTACATTTGCATGTATGTACAAGGGCTTATATAACTTCTGAGAGGAAGGTATGGAAGAAATTATAACAACCTCAATATAGCACTATAAGAACTTCACTGAAAACAATCCCATTTCCTCAATAATTGAATAATTGAATTTTTTTATTTTTATATATTTCACATCATTGTTCACATTTTTACAATATTTGCTTTCTCTTCTCAGGTGTAGCCCCCATAAATTTCCACCAATTCACCCGTGCACCATCATTATATTCCCTTGCACTCTTTCTACCCTCACCCTGATTTCTTTCACTCCCCCGCCCCTGTACAATGTCTCTGATTTGTAGTTGTCTTTTCATTGCTATTGGGTTTTTGTTGTGTTTTTATTGTTATTATTATTTTTTCCTCTTGGTGCCTCATTTGGTTCCCCTATTTTCCTCCCTATAAGCGAAACCATCCAATATTTTGCTTTTCCTTCTGACTTATTTCATTCAGCATAATCCCTTCTAGCTCCATCCGTGTTGCTGTGAATGGCATAAGTTTATCTTTTTGATTACTGCATAGTATTCTTTTGTGTATATGTACCACATCTTCTGGATCCAGTCATATATTTTTGGGCATTTGGGTTGTTTCCAAGTCTTGCCTATTATAAAGAGATCTGCAATAAACATAGGGATGCAAGTATTCATTTGAATTAGTGTTTTTGTGTCCTTTGGGTAGATCTCTAGGAGTAGAATTGCTGGGTCGTATGGTAGCTTTATTTGTAGTAGTCTGAGGAGTCCCCACACAGTTTTTCAATGGCTGGGCCAATTTTTCTTCCCACTAGCAGTGCAGGAGAGTTCCTTTTTCACCACATACTCACCAATATTTGTTGTTGCTAGTTTTCTTAATATGTGCCTGAATAGCTACATTTTTATATGAAATTATAAAAAAAAAAAAAAAGCATAATGAGGTGAAATTCATAGCCCTAACTAAAAACAACTTCTGAGAAGTGACTTCAGCCAAAACAAAGAGAGGGGGAAAGTAATTTGTTATTCACTTAGACACTGCAGCCATTGACCACAGCTCTTCAGGAGAGACCCGCTGCCAGCTGCATTAAGTGCCTGGCCACGCAGGCTGACTCTGCACAGGCCCCCTTACCGTCACCAGCCTGCTCTCCTGCTGTCTTGGACTCTACTCAAACATACGTCTCATTCTCAAAAGCAGTTTGTTTCTGTTTGCTTTCAAACTTTGCTCATACTCTATCCTCTGGTTGTAAGTCAGTGCCTCAGTCCCTCTTTGAATTTGTGTTTGTCTAAAAGCAACATTCTGAGAAAGAATTTTGGTTTTACTCATTAAGTAAAATTGCACTAGGTTGTCCTTAACTTGTCCCATCTTTCTACCAACAGAAGTAACAACTCGTTAAGAGAATCCACGGAAGGCAGCAAGTCAAGTGAAACACTCAGCAGGTAAAAAAAAAAAAGTGAGCTTTACCAGCTCCCTATTTTCAAAATGACACTGTTATTCCATTAATCTGATGCTTCCCATAATGAGCACAGCATCAGCACGGACTGTAACAGGACCAAGACTGATTGCCTGGAAAATAGTTAAGCTTTGTCTTTTCTATCTTCACCAGCTATAAAACAATAGCAACATCAAAGTGCTATTTATATCCTATGAATATGAAATTAATTCTATTGAAATTCCAGCTATACAGAGATTTATTATTGGATTTTTAGCACCAAGCATATTGCCTTGTCCTAAATATGTATTCAGTGACTGAATTAACACAATGCAGGATTATAAATGTTTACTTACTGTCCTTTCTTATACAATCAGTATATGGTGACCTCGAATCCTTTCTAAATATATCTTTCACTTAGCCTAAAAGAAGCAAGTTTTGATTTTCTTCTTATGTGACTATGTAACACTGCGTTATACCTGCTAATAATAGCCGCAGCTATCTGGTACATTTTTTTTATTGTTTTCTGGGTGTCTGAGGTCTATTTCTTTTGTGTAACCAGTGACATAGACAGTATTATTCCCATATGCAGGTTAGAAATGAAGACTGAGATTGCTTAAGTAACCTGCCAAGGTCATGCAGCTTTGTAAATAGTGGCATCAGAGTGAACTTGAGTCTGATGGACTCCTAAGCCCAGGCCTATACGCATGCCTATATTCTGCCTCTGGGTGGTCCACCAAGCTGCCTGCAAAGAAGCCGAATCCAAGGCATGGAGCACAGAGGGCCTACTTGCCCAAGAAATGGGAAGTACTGATAGACTTATTCCACAACTAAAAAAATCTGCTTCCTTCAGAAGTGACAGAAGCTGATGATAAGAAAAAGATGGAACCTAACTCCTGTCTTCCTATGGGGGAAGATTTTTAAAATACTTAATAAAAATTTTGAAAATTGGAAACAAACTAAAAAATTTTAAATGCATTTGAATGCTCTCTACTATGGCAAACTGGCCATTTTTAAAACTCACTTGAATGAGAAGAAGTATCACAATTGCTGTTTTATTATATTTCGCTGTAACTGTGACACTTTTACAGTAACATAAAACAGTTTATAGTGGCCCTCCCTGGTGGTGTAGCGAGTTAAAGCACAGCACTAAGAAGCTAAGGCCACTTCAGCATGAGTTCGATCCCCACCCCAGGAGGTGACCACATGGCATGGCAGACCTCTCCTGACCTGCCCGCTGCTTCCCTCAGCAGTGTACTTCATCAGTCGGCCTGCTCTGCTCCCCACTCTGTCTCTGGTGAAGCCTCTCACCGCTCCTACACCTCTGGCCTGTATCCCAGTTCTGTATGCACAAATAAATAGATCTTTTTTTAAAAAGTTTATAGTAATTGACACTTTACAGCAATGTTTCTTAACTTAAAATCTTCTGCTGCCATATAAGCTGAATCAATATAGTCCATATACACAAACAAAAAAAATCATTAAGAAAGCAGTGTTTTATAATTAAATGTATGACTTTATAAAAGATATCAAGAGTCTTATGTCTACACTGTATTTTATCTTTTGTGATATCAGATATACTAGAGCCTCTGGGAAAAGTCACTGTACCCTTGGGAGAAATTGAGAGTTAAAAAGTAAGAATATTTTGGGCCCTTCCTGGTGGTGTAACAGGTTAAAGCACAGCACTGGAAGGCTGGCCACAGCCACTAGTGTGTGAGTTCGATCCCCACATGGCCTAGCAGACTTCTCCTGTCTCACTCGCTGCTCCCCTCAGCAGTGTACTTCGCCAGTTGGCCTGTTCTGCTCCCCACTCTGTCTCTGGTGAATGCTTTCACCACCCCTGCACCTCTAGCCTGTACCCCAGTTCTATAAGCATAAATAATCTTTTTTTTAAAAAAAAGTAAAAATATTTTAGTATTAAAGGGAAACATAGTGTTGACCTCACAATTCATCTACAAGGGAACCATCTTGAGAACTATTGCCATAATATTCTTTTACTGGTCCAAACAACAGGGGACAGTGTAGTGAGTTTCAACTTAGTGATTTAAACAAGTTTGTTGTTTTAGTTTTTATTAAGTGACACTACTGGTCTCAAAGTTTCCTCCCACCCCACTTTGGTTTGTTAGTTTTAAAATAAGTCATTAATACTGTGTCTTTTAGAATCCAGAAGAGAAATATTTGGATTTCATAGCAATTATTACTAAAAATGAATTTTATATGCTATTATATTTTCATTCTACAAAATGGTCATAATGCCACTTTGGGTCTCCTTCATAGTCTTTTAGAACTTCTGCAAGCTAAGATCATGACCACCATCCTGAATTTAAATTTTAAGGCATTACTTTTGCCTGCATTCACTTGCTTCTGCCCATAAATCTTAGCCAGTATTTGTGAAATGAAATGATTGCATGACCATTCTTCTGCTTCCAGAGAGCCCGTCACCTTACATGCAGCAGACCTGGGGGATCCACCTACTTGCTTCACATTCCCATCTATTGGTGAGTTGTCAACAAAAAACACAGAAATAGGACCTGCTTAAAACCCTGTGGCTCCCCAATTCCATGAGGATAAAGCCAGTGTCATTGCAGCAGCATCTAAGTCCGCATTAACTCTGGCTTCATTTCTCACTCTTCCCCTTCATTCACTCTCCTTTAGTCACCCTTGAAATGTACTCTGAACATTCAGGCAGTTCTGTGTTGAGACCTTTACGCACTCTGTTCTCATCATATTGCTCACCCCTTTACCTCCTTGAGCCAGATGTCACTTTCCCAGTGAGATTTACTGTCATCACCTTAATTAAAAATTGTAACACTCCCATACTCTCAGATCATGTTATTTTTTTTCTTATAAAGTATTAACATCTTTTAATATACTTTATAAATTGCTCATTTGCGTTGTTCCTTTGTGTCAATGACAAACCTGTACAAGGGTAGACATCTCTAATTGTTTGGTTCCCTACTATTTTCAAGGTACTAAGAACCTTCCTAGCACTGAGCGGGTACTCGGTAAAGATTAAGTCGATGAAAGGTAAACAAAAGAACTGATATAGGTGTGGGTCTCCATGTAATTGCCGAAAACTTAATAGACAAAATATTCTACAAAATTAAGATCGGGGTGAAAGAAACAGAATCTGTTGAAAAAACAAAATGACCCAACTCAGTCTAACGATGGAGGAGAAAAATTCAAAACATTACAGGGATAAGCATTAGAAAAAATAAAAAATAGGATAGGCATGGCTGAAAGAATTGTCAAGAACAAAATGAAACCTTTAGAGAAAATTATGCAAAAATAATTTTTAAAATTAAGAAAGATGAAAAATACTTACAGAGAATAGATTAGAGCTGGAAGGCAAAGGCTAACCTACAGACACATAATTAGTCTTCTTATGGAAGACAACAAAATAAATGGGAAAGTATGAAATCATAGAATTGCTTGGCTATAAATCTGGCCAATAATGAAGTAAATAGAGAAAACAGAGGCATGAGAGGAAAGAGAAAAGTGAAAGCTAAGTTTCCAAAAGTACTTTTCTTTTATGGGAGAGTCTCAATAGGTATGTAACAACAAAATGTAGTATTCTTGAGTTTAAAAGTACGATTTCTTCATTTTTAAGTAATTATTAGCTTGTGAGAAATTCCTTAACTAATATTTTAAAAAGAGCATTTAAACGAACAATTCCTTCAGATTTACACACATCTATGTTTTTATTGTTGCTTTAATAAACCTAAGAGAATGCAACACACATCCTTGCCTTATTAGGTTAATATAAATGAGTGCTTTCTCCTTTTCTCACATGGTATGAGTAACTCTACTCAATGTCCTTCCAGTTTCATACAATTGTTATATTATAAATGTAATAAATAACACATTGGATTATTTGCAATGTTGTGTATAGTTCATATTCATTTAGATATATCCACAAATTTATCTTACTTTCTGACATTATTTTACTTATGTCTTTAATATTTTCTTTAATGTAAGTCTCCAGTGCCAGTGATACATTCTCTCATTTTTCTTGCTTTTTGTTTTTTTTTTAGGAGTATTTTTTGCTGAGTGTAGAATTCTAGATTGGCTTTTTCCCTTCACTTTGAAAGTGTCATTCCATTGTTTACTGGAGTACATTATCTCTACTAAGTCAGTGCTAAATTTATTTGTTGCTCATTTAAATGCAATCTGTCTTGTTGCCTTTTGGCATACTTGACACTTTATTGCCTTTGGTTTTGTTTTTTTGTACTTTAGTAATTTTTATTGATGGGTCCAAGTGTGATTTTCTTTTTATAAGAAGAACCTGTCTGGGTTTGGAGTAATGCTGCTTGAATCTGTAGATATCTGTGTCTTTTGTGCTCAGATCTTGTATATCTGTTCCTATTATCAACATTCATTTTCTTGGTTTTCTACCATGTTATTTTTTGTCTCTTCATTCACCTGATTATTATTATCATATGACAGACATATAAAAAAATTATAGAGATGGTTTGAGGCTTAAAGTGAGCTTTCAGAAAGCATTCACGCTTACTTCTGGTAGACAGCTAAAGATCAACTTAGTCTAATCAAGAATTAAAGTGATTTGAAGCTAGAATTAAGGATCCCCAAAAGATGGTCTAATTTCTGTTTATCTTTATTCCTAACACTTGTTCTTTTTCAGTAAATAGACCTTCTTAATTCTAGCCATATATATCAGAACATCTTACACTCCCATAATTGGGAACTTTTTTTCACTAAAGTTTGATGTTTTGAGAAGTACCGTGAATTATTTTTAATGAATTCTGTCCTTTTTCTTTTGTTCTTGCAAAATTTAGCAAGCCCATCTGTGAAAAATTCAATTTCTCGTTCATTCCATTCTTCTCCAAAGAAGTCTCCAGTTCACTCACTCCTAACTAGTTCTGTTGAAGATTCCATCGGGTCTGCATCACAATACAGATCTACCAAAGCTACGCATTCACCTGATTCTGTTAAAGGTAAGAATGACCTGGTATCACTGATGAGATTAATTGATTTTATACTTTGGTGAACTGAAGCTTCTTTCCCATGATCAAACCTAATCAGATGTAAGCTTTTATGGTATTTTCATAGGCAAGCTCTGTTGATACTGTGTAACTTAAGTGGGTCTTAGTTGAATAGAATGGTATCCACAATCTTTAGTAAACATACATACATATGTTTGTAAATAGTATCTCTTTCTGTAACATGAGTAATGAATTTTTTTCCTGAGAAAATCTCACCCAAGATTTTGGGTGTTCTTTTAAATGCTGTGAATGACTTTTTTTGTTTACACTTTCTCATGGTTCTCTTCAGTCTTTGCCTTTGTAAGTACAAGCAAGCATCTATCACATAAACCTGTCGAAGTGTTCTCATTTTTAAAAATTAAGTTCATTTATTATTTGCTAAGACAGATGGGAAATGGTTTGGTTTAAAATAAGTGTGTGATAAGTAAGTGAACAACACTACAATGTATATATGTATGAAATAAAACATCTTAGGTGACAGTGACAGAGAGGCCCAGTACTCCTCAGCATAGTTCCCTTAGAGAAGAGATAAATTTGGCAAATTGTTGTATCACTCTTAGTCTTTTGAAATTCTATGGCTAGCACATTTCTAGATCTTAAAAAAAGTAGAAAATCAGAATCTAAGCAGATGCTAGTACTAACTTATTTTGGTACATTTTCTTTCTTACCATCTTTTTCTGCATTTCTCCTTCATCTCTGGTTTCTAAATTATTCATAAGTATTTTTAAGAATTTAGAGTAGCAAATGATTTAACTACTATGATCATGACAACCTCGTTCTTTTTTTTTTTTTCTTTTCTCTCTCTCTCTTTTTTAAGTTCATTTATTATTTGCTAAGACAGATGGGAAATGGTTTGGTAACATTGTTTTTGCAAAACTGATTTAGAGGAATAGGTTAGTTACTTTATTGTTAATTTACGGTTACAAAATAGCATGGTATTTTCCCTCCATTACGGGGTACTCATCAAACATCATGTATTTTACACTGTCTGCTTTAAATATTTCTGAGAAACTGTTTTCATCCTTTTAAGATGACTGTCTTCATGACTAACATCTATAAAGGATGTTTTTAGGGAAAATAAACTCTTTTTTTCCCCCCTCAAGCTTATACAGCTAGTCAGGGGCAAAGATGAAAACAAACACCTTGAGCTCACCAATCATGATTTTTCAGAGGTTGACACAATTTAGCATATATGTTAGAGCATAGGTTGCATGCTTCTAGTCCCTTCTGGGTTCTCTGTGGCCATGTCATCTTCTACACTACCTTCTTCCATCATATAATCCCATCCTCCTTCTGTGACAGCAACTAAAACGGGCACTTTACTTCCCACACGCTCAAGTCTTACCAGTTCTGTGTAAATCTGGTCCTCCAAATCCTAAGTTAATAAAACCATTCAGGTTTAGAGTGAAAACTTTCATCTCTAATGCAGAATGTATCGTTAAACTTCAAATGTTTCTCTTACTCATCCCATTTAATGTGATGCACTTAAATATTAGGAAATCAGATTGGTTGAAAACAAAATCATATAAGCTACTACAGCATCATTTAGATAAAACACTTCTCTATTTTGAAAGAAAGGTCTTTTAACCTGTAATTGGAAATTTTCTAAAAAGAAATACTGAAAAGACTTTTAACATCACATCTAAGCAATTTTCTAATAGCTTCACAGTCTCAGCCAATAGAAACAACTGGGAAAACATGCCGAAAGCTTCAGAACAGGCTGGAAAGCTTGCAATCTCTGGTAGAAGATTTACAGATGAAAAACCAAGGTACAGTATCTATTTTTGGAGAGCTCTTCCTTGCTCACCTTCCCTACAGGTTCTGTCTGCTCTATATAGACCTACTAAAAAGGATACTTGAATTAGCAACTAGCAATCTTAGTCAAAACATGAGAATCTTAACCAAGATGAATCCCTGGATTAGTTGTGTTTGACATTGGATGGATAACTCAGATCAGATCCTGCTTTATTTACTCTTTCATCTAATAAGGATGAAAATACTGCTGCCTCATTTTTATGGACTTGTATTTTGAGTGATTTTTCACATGGGACTATATACTGTCTTTTTGTCTCTATTACATCTGAAGGCAAACATTTGTGTAGTAGTAGCTACAACAGGATTGCAGGCAATAGCCAGAAAGCAAAATAACAGTACTTAGCCTTGCACAAGTTTTTTTTTTTTTTTAATGTTCTCTGTACATTAAATATTCCACTGCCTGGATCAGATTATTCTTTGACTTTTTTTTTAATACTTATTTTCTTTTATCATTGTTCCTTTTGGGGCAGTGTTTGATTTCTCCCCTCAAGTGCAGTTTTCTTAATTCTCCACCACCACAGCACCCGTGATCCATCACCACAGCCTCTTGTGCTCATCTCTCCCGTTTTGATCCTTCTCTCGCCCGCTCTCCTACTGTATGCCTCAGATCTGTGGTTAGGCTCGCAAGTTTTGTCTTTACCTAACCCTCTGGATTATCTTATATAGTGCAAATAAGTAAACCATCCAACATGTCTCTTTTTCCTTCTGACTTATTTCATTTAGCATAACCCCTTCCATGTGGCCACAAATGGCATGAGTTTATCTTTTTTGATTGCTGAGTCATATTCCAACATTATACAGATTGTTTAAATTAGTGTGCTGTTGCAACAGACTGTGTCAACCAATTTGTCACTAAACAGAAAAGATAAACTACTTTTAAGTCACTAAAACCATTTGAATGAGAAATTGGGATCTGTAGGTGGTGGATAACTTTTAGGGCAGAAGTTTTAACTGGATATTTCCATAAATGTAGGAGGGTATGGATTTGTTCCCACAGAATTTCAAGGGCTTTCATGTCTAATGCTTTGCTGACATAAATTCGTAAATCCAGGAGCTGTTGTTAGAAAGGCATTGATTTTATACTGCATGTGTACTACACTTCTAGGAATCTAATCTATTATTTCATAATATAACATAACCTACAATTATATTGTTAGGTGAAAGTAATATTTTTCTAAGGAAAAATTCTTGTAAAATATAATAACATTATTAATAATAGTAGTTGCTATTAACATCTATTCAACACTTAGCAATTATGGGCCAGACCCTATACCCATTGCTCTTCTTATATTTTCTTCACATGACCTTCAAATCACTAGGAAGTGATTTTTAATATTATGTTATGTGATAATGAGGAAACTGAAGCTATAGTGACCAACAGCCAATAAGCTATAAGTCACACAATGAGTAATAGAGCTGGGACTTGATAACTGAACTTTCTGACTCCAAAACACAATAAAGCGATATCAAATTGTTATTTTAAAAAATACTAATTTTTTATAACTCCAGAGCCATGCATATATAAAGACCAAGACAAAAATTTGATTTTAAGTTTGTGACTCCTTTAACAAGTGCATATTATATCAAATTTTGACCTAAATTTCTAAGTTTATCTGAGTAATGTCATCATTAATTACCAAACAGAAAAATCTATTATGTCATGTTTTGTAAAAACATCTCTAGTTTACTAAATGATTCATGAATCAGGCCCCATCCCATCTAGATAATACAAAGGCACACACAAAATGGAGGACATTTATAGACAGAAAGAGAGTGGGATGAGGTAATTAGCAAAAGAAAATATTTTAGCACATAAAGTCTCCTTCCCTTGTAGAATGCAGTGGGCCTCCACATGGATTGGTTTAGGATTATATTTTTAAGAGAGGTTGAAATTATAGTAGCTATTAAATGTGGGTGGATGCTCCACAGGAAAGATTTCAAATTGAGCCTGTGTTTTCTATTTTTAAGTCATTCATATAAAAATGGATGCCTTATCTTTTTATTGGATGCCTTATCTAGGTAGGATGTCTCTTGGAAATTATGAAGCAAATATTTTTGCTTTGTTTTGTTCAAAGATATATTTTTATTTATTTATGCATACAAGAACTGGGGTGCAGGTCAGAGGTGTGGAGTGTGAAAGGATTCACCAGAGACAGAGTGGGGAGCAGGCAGATCTATTGAGGTACACTGCTGAGGGAACAGCTCTGGCAAAATAGAAGAGGTCTGCTGAACCATGTGGGTTAGCCACCTGGCCTGGGGATCTAAATCATGCTGCAGTGGCTGGCAATAGCTCAATGGTGCTGAGACTTTAACCCCTGCGCCACCAGGGAAGCCCATTAAGCAAATATTTTTAAGAGGATTTTGGGGATACTTATCAGAATTCAGGGTGTACATTTGCTTTGACTCAGAAGTTCTACTTCTAGCACTTTGTTCTATCAGAAATAACTATTTAAATACACCAAAGTTTGTTTATGAGCTTATTTAAAATTATTGTATATAAATGAAAATTTTAAAAAACAAGTTTTAAATGTATTCACTAACAGGTTGGCACAGTCATATAATGGAATATTATAGCATAACATAACATGAGCTAAACTGGAAAGATATTGACATTTTGCCAAGTAAATGAAGCAAGCTACCAAACTATTTGTACCACATGTATTTCCATGTGTATAAAGAAGAAAATTTGTATATATGTGTATATGAAGATATTCACCACACTGTTTATAGTTATGACCTCTAAGGGTATGGCGCTCAGTAGATTGAAGGCACAGAAATAACTGCTTCATCTTTGTACTCTTTTGAGGTATTTAATGATTTACAGCTAGGGTATATTCTCTCTTAATAATTATCACATTAATTTAAAACTTCTGAAAAAGTAGAGACTCACCCTTAGCTTTATTCCATAGCATCAACCTTTTTTAAAGAATGCTAGTCTGCAATTTTTAGGTAATATAGAGCTAAGAATCAGAATTTATCTGTTCTATAGCAACAAGCTACCTTTTTTTAGAAGCACAGAATAGAAGAACAGAATTTAAAGCCTAAGTAAACATTCTTTGTTTTTATCAACATTTGCAGCAATGTCTTCAATGATCAGAAATCAAGAAAAGAGGATACAGAAAGTGAAAGACCAAGAAAAAATGTTACTAAAATGATACATTGTTTACCTATTCTTTACAGAGGAAAGATGCCCAATTAATTGTGGCATTATATAATTAGTACCCTGTGTACTTTTTTCTTTTTATGTCAAAATTTAATAAAATTTTCTGTACTGTAAATTATTTTGAAATAAACTACTCTTGACTGCTCTCCCAGTAAACCTTCAAACAGTACTAACTACATGTGAAAGTATTTAGACCTGATAAAAGAGTATTAATTTGTGATGATTTAGTGGGCAGAATGAAGAGCACCTCAGTACCCCCAAACCTGCCTGGTCTAAATAGATTCTGTCATTTGCCATTAAACAACAAAATATATTCTTAGTGTATAAGACCTTCAACAGAAAAGGACTTTACTACAATTAGTATATAATAGAAGCGAAAAATATGGCTAAAATAGTTTCCCCATGAAACAACAAAGCTTCCCATCCCCATGTGGGCAAATGCCCAGCCAAAGAGAATTGCCCCAAAGCGAGGCCCAAAAGCCTGCCACAATCTAAGGCATCTTCTGTTGGGGAACCATACAGAAGGGGCAGAAGGGACTAGGCAAGTCTAGAGAGGGAAAAGCAAAATTCAAAGACCAGTCGATGTAGAGGCCGCCACTGTCAGCCTCCCCATGGGTCTCCCACCCACATCTCTGTCTCTTTCAAGTGTCCCCAAGTCCCTGGTACAAGTCTAAGTTTAAGAGTTAAGTGCCCCTCTTCACAGCTCTCTTACTCCATATACCTCCTCTGTCTTCCTCTCCCTCTTCCTAAGTCCCCTCCTATGTTTTCTCCCAGCCTTTTTTAGCTGCTTCTCAATGCTGATTTCCACCCTTTCTTGAATGGAACAGGGAACCTGGAACCTCCCCTTTCCATGGTAATTACACTCTTACAGCCATACCAATGTGTTAAAATAATTAATTTTTTTTATTTTATTTATTGGTCTGACACAATAGTGTCAGACAATTGTTTTATTCAACTTAGAAAAAAAAAAAACATCCTGGGGGAAAAACTTCCTCCACATGACACATGACAGTGAAAGATGTGGTATAATGCCCAAAACATGTGGACAAATTCCAGTGTACTGACGGATTCCACCTGTGACCTTGAACTCACTGTTCTGTCAATATCAGTGAAATAATCAAATAACAAAACACTGAGGCCTCTCATCAAAATATTTAGAAAGTCTCTTTCGCATATTAGTGACTACAACAACAACAAAAAAAAACCTCATCCCTTAGTCAGTGGTTAACTTCCACAGATTGAATGAATGTAGTCTGCCTTAATTAAAATTTAGCACATTATAGGGAGTGGAGTTTTCCAACACCATTAGCCACTTGTCTATGGACACCAAAAAATCTGAGTCTCCTAAAAGTCAATTCACTTCTGATACTATCTGGAGTTCAGTGTCAGATTCCACAGATTTAGGGCTGTCCCCCAGCCCTGACTTCGGACATCAGTCACATACCCCAGTTCATCTGTATTTCTGACCAGCCAGCTATAAAGTGGGGGCTCCCAAAATCCCAACCTGTTTTAATTTGCTAGCATGAATCATAAAATTCAACAAAGTGATTGCTGAATTTACTATTTCACTTACTATTATCAGCTTATTATAAAGGATAAAACTCATAAATAACCACACAGAACAGAAGCACAGATAGGACGAGGTGTGGGTGGGATTCTGGTGCACGAGCCTTCCATGCCTCTCTAGGGGAGCCACGCTCCCAGCACCCTGATGTTCCACCAACTGGAAAGTTCAGCAACTTTCATTATTCCACCACTTTCTAGCACTTCATCTTCAGCCCTGGATCTCACTTCCAGAATCAGGGCGTCAAGTTCCAACCTTCAAATCACTGTTTTTTTCTGACCTGAGTGCATCTAGGGGCCTGCCTTAATTCAGCTCATTAGCAAAAACTTAGGTGCAATCTAAAGTGCCTCGTCATTTTTTCCCCATCGCTTTTAAAGTTTTTGTATTAATCTTTTCCTTACATCACTGCAGTCCCCAAAAGTGCCTCATTTTAAGTAACAAAAGCCATGTCTGTGATTCAGGAAATCCCAAGGGTCAGAGGACTTCTGTTCCAGGAAGCAGAGACAAAGTCCAAATATATTTTTATACCGCATTACGTGACGCAATTAAAGGGAGAACAACTACAAAAACGTTGTGGTTGTGCCATGTACAATAGGGACAGTGCAGCAGGAGCTGGCTGCCCAAAGTCTGTACTCCTTTTCCACGGTGCAGATGTCGCTGAGAAACAGCTCTCCACCTGGAGCTGCTTCTGAGCTCCTCTCCTCTCACCTAGGGGTGGTCACCTCGCCGGTGGTCACCTCGCCAATGGTCACTGATGGCACGTGGACAGAACAATATGCAGTACTCTCTGGCCAAAAGTTCTAGTAAATCTTCAGTAAAGTTTTTCCTCGCTTTATTTTCCCTTTGGTGAGCTGGAGAGAGGCTGGTGATGTCTTGGGGGGAGGGGAGCAGAACCACAAGACAGAAGCCTCTAGATGACCATCTCTTCAAGGACAGCAGTGTCTACTGTGTATTATCTACTGTGGATTGCTAGTGAGCAAGGAATGGTGTGCTGTAGGCTTTATACATGTCTGCCGTCTGTGACAGCCGCTAGCATGAGCCCAAAGCAGTACCGATAACAGTGTAGGGCAGACACTGTATTGTTTGTATGTAGTAATACACTGTTATTTTTTCAGCTGTAATAGCAAAGTTGAAATGCTTGTTTCTTCTTAGAATAAAGAGATGCATCTATATCATGATCATTTTTAAAAAGATTTATTTATTTATGCATACAGAACTGGGGTACAGGCCAGAGGTGCAGGGGTGGTGAGAGGATTCCCCCAAGACAGAGTGGGGAGCAGAACAGGTCGACTGACTAAATACACTGCTGAGGGGAGTAATGGGCAGATCAGGAGAGGTCTGCGGCACATGTTGTCATCTCCTGGGCAGGGATCAAACACATGCTGAAGTGGCTTTAGCTTCTCAGTGCAGTGCTGCGCCACCAGGGACGGCCCACTATCATAATTGTATTGCCTGTCACAGCTGTTGCTATGAAAGTAGAAAAAAGGATGGAGCTAGTGCTGGGGGAAAGTCTATCCAGACCGAAAACATGAAGGGGTCCTAGAAAGACCCCATGAATAATATTGGAATATTCTTCCCTGCTGTCAGGCACACTTGTACCTTCTAGTTTCCTAAGAAGGATCACTCAGGCTACTGTCTTTTCCGCCTGGTATTTTTGATTCTAACTAGTTCCCTCGTTCCTATGCTGGCCTCAGTCAAAAGACATACTTGCTATCTTCAAACCATACCTGGAAGGTAAAAACCAAGCCAAAAGCATTGGGAAGTTTTTTATTATTATTATTATTAAATTTTTAAGTTTTCTCAATTTTCTCAATTTTTTGTACAGTACTTGATATCTCCCCTAGATGTAGTCCCCATAAATCTCCCACCACCACATCGCCCATAAACCATCACCATAGTCTCCTGTGTTCTTCACCCCCGTTTTGAGCCCTCTCCCTAGCCTCCTCCCCCTCCCCTGCTGTATGCAGATCTGTAGCTTGTCATTTTTTTTTTCACCCTTTGTTCAGTTTCCTTATATTCCTCCTATAAGTGATACTATCTGGTATTTTTCTTTTTCCTTCTGACTTATTTCACTGAGCATACTCCTTTCTGCTTCCATCCATGTTGTGACTGGCATGAGTTTTATCTTTTTGGATCAATGAGTTATATTCCATTGTGTATATGTACCACATCTTCTGGATCCAGTCATCTTTTGGGGGGTAATTAGGTTGTTTCGTATCTTAGCTATTGTAACTAGTGCTGCTATGAACATGGAGTGAGGGTTTCCTTTCAAATTAATGTTTTTATGACCTTTGGGTAGATTCCCAGGAGTGGAATTGTTGGGTCACATGATAGCTCCATTTTTAGTATTTTGAGAAATCTCCACATAGTTTTCCATAGTAGTTGGACCAGCTGTGTAAGATGGTTCCTTTTTCTCTACATCCTCAGCAACATTTGCGGTTGCCAGTTTCTTTTTAATATAGGCCATTCTCACTGGTGTGAGGTGGTATCTCATGATTTTGATTTCCATTGCCCTGATTATAAGGGATGTTGTGCGTGTTTTCATATATCTGTTAGCCATTTGATTTCCTCTTTAAGTGTCTTTTTAGCTCTTCTGCCCATTTTTTCACTGGGTTGTTTACTTTGTGTTGTTGAGTTGTATGTAGATCTTTGATGTCAGTGCCTTATCAGTTGCATGGAATGCAAATATTTCTGCCAGGGAGGGCCTGGTGTTGACTATTTTTAAATATAAAATGTGTGTATGGTTAAAAGGACTTTTTTCCAAGTGTCCCAATGGAAAATCACTTATTTCTGTATGAGATTTGTTTTAATCCCTTGGCTTAAGGATGACCCAAGGATGGTTTAAGCTTGAATGGTGTACAGCTGATTAGTTTCTGTACTCCTTGATCAGCCTGCACCTGAAGTTGACCTAGATTCTTCCCGAAAAGATCCAAGCCCCAAACTAATGCTGGATCTGCATTAATCTATACATCAAGCTACAGAGGGAAAGTCCATGTTCATGGGAGGCAGTAACTACATATACATATGTGTTTGTGTATAGTGCACTTAGAAAAAAGCTACTAGCTGATATGAAACAATTCTATTAGCTACATTCAAAGTTATACTTAATTTTCTTTTATTCAGTGTGCTCCACAACCTTAGCCTCTTGCACATGCTATGAATTCTCTCTAATACTTTGCAAACTGAATCACTGAACCCCCCACGACTTGTGAACCACTTTATCCTCATGGCCAGTCTCTAAGAGTCTATTGCTGCACTCTTCCCAACGGGTAACTTCCCCATTCTCTACCACCACAAACTTCCACTCCACCACTGTGTCAGCTGGCAGGGACACAGAATGAGACCAGAGTCCATCCTTGCTGCACTGGAGTGGAACAAAAGTATTCCATCTTCCTAGATTCTCGTGGTCTCCAGTTACTGCAATGAATTGCACTCCAGTGCTTGTGAGATAATGGATCTGGAAACTGATACTGACATGCTGAGACTGTGAAGACATCCTCACGACCCTTTTTGTTTTCATACCCACTTCCTGACCTCTTGCTTCCACAAGACTGCTTCTGCCACAGTCCAGCCCCTGGTTTGAGCTTAACATCGAGAACTCGAGGCTGCCATCCAAACCAACATCTCCCCAAGATGAATGCCTCGATACCATTTCCCAGTCCTCAGGGTCAGTCAAGTCCTGGCTGTCCATTCGAGCCAGACTTACTTCTTCAACTCTGTCCATGAACAGGTTGCTAGAAGGCAATTTCTCAGCAAAGGTTGGAGTTGCTTTACCAGGTGTCTCTTGTCCTTTTTGGAATCCCCATTCTCTTTGAGAAGACTCAAGGCTTCGACTTCTTGAAACTTCAGAGTGGCACCTAGAGTTCCTAGTCTCAGAGGCAGCTAGACACTGTGTGTCTGGAAACCATCCAGAAGAAACATTCTCTCTTGACTCACTGCAGTTACCACCTTCTCCAGGACTCCGTGGTCTCCACCTCCCTTCCTGTAGGTTACCATTTCCTTTGTCTGAAAGCAAACATCCATTGTTTCCTTGGGGATGTTCTTTTAAAAAAGGAAAAATGTCATGGTGTTAGATAGTTCACATGAGAAGAAATAAATTAGGTTGAAAAAACAGGCTTACTTTGGAAGGCTTTACTACTAATCTACCTGCAGTTCACAAAATTCATCTTTATTAAAATCAAGTACTTAGCTACCTAGTGTGTTCACAACTGTGTGCTTATGAACATGTGTGTATGCTCAACAATAGTACAAGAGTGTAAATGAAGTAGCAAGTCAAGGAGGCAGAGGTGTGCCCCATCATGGTCCTCTACATCCACATGCCAACTCACGCTGGCACACAGCCAAGCCAGCTTGTTTAGCTCGGGACATCCAAACATGTCCAGCCTGTGAGGTGCAAGGCTACGTGGCTAACCTCCATACCAGAAGGGTACACTTGTATTCCAAGAACTGAATGCAGACCAGGGATCAGGTCAAATTGGAAGCTGTGGGTAGATCAGCTCAGCTGTCACTGGGAGAATGCAGAGGACAGCAGTAAATCATTGGGCTGGAGTTGGGGGGAGGATGGTTTCTCCTTGCCAACCCTGTGCACAGAAACGTCTTCAACAAATTATAAAGATTTTAACCCGTGTGCCCCACTGCACACTGTGAATTTGTTCTTAAATACACAATCCAAGCTCCTTACAGACTCAATTTCCTTCCGGGTCACCTTACTGGTAGTCCAAACAGTTCCCTACAAAATTATAATCATTCAGTAAGCACAGATGAAGTTTCATGGAAGGAGAAACTTGTTCAATTTTGTCTCTTTCTAATGATGGAGTTGGAAGTGAAACACTCATGGTGCTTTGAATTCCCATGTTTTGCAACCTAAACCATGAAACTGGTTTTCAGAAAAAGGAGGAAAGTGAGTGCTCTCTGGATCCCAAACCAGTCACAGGGGAGGCAGGGCAGATTTTCAAGTGGCTACACATGACCACCACTCTACTAAAAATAAGGCTCACAAATGTCATTTTCACCATCAGTTTGGAGTCCAGGCCTGGGTGTCTAGCCAAGAAGGGTGGGGTGCTGGACTGTGAAGTTTCTGCAGTGCTCTTACTTTGCCTAACACAGCCTCTTTAACAAGCAGAGACTTAAACCTAGATGTCAATTCTACTCATCAGAACTGAGTCCCCTATTAAGTCCTCCTACTTAAATACTCCCTTCCCCAGAGATTAAACCACCCTGCACTGTTGCTGGGAGTGAGCAAGGGGAAGGTTTGAAAGTTCTGGAAGGGCCTACAGTCCCAGGGCTTCAGCAGAGGCTTCTGGCCAGAGTCCTACCTGGACTTTGCCTCCTGACAAAAGCATCCAGATGGCGGTGTTCCCAAACCAAGTCTTCCATGGGGTGAGGGCTGGGAGGACATGAAGCTATGACATTGGGACTGAGATATTGTCCCGGCTCTGTCAGAGTTTGAAGGGGTATGAAAGTGCTCCCCCACCCCTCCCCGGGACAATCTTCTAGGGCACCTCCCTGGCCACGGTGGGGAGCAAGAAACCTGCAGGGTGCGTGCTACCGACCAAGTTAGATGAGGCCCCTGGGGTTTGGAATGTTAGGAAAACTACACGTTGGTTTTGTTTTGTTTTGTTTTGTTTTCCCTTCTGCGAACTTTGAGCCCCCTGGCAGATCTGATCTCGGGTCACGCGCAGGAAGAATACCTGGTTTAGTGACCAGCTCCCGCCTGGAAGGTCCAGGGTTCAGTCCACCGCCAGCTTGGTCGCCTCCCGGCTCCCCGAGCCGGGCGTCGGGATCTGGCTCCGCACCCGCGTCCTTTCCCTTGTCCCGCAGCAGCCAAACGAACAGCGCTCCGGCCAGACCCCCGCCGACCAACAGGGCGGACCAGACGGTGCCCATGGCTCAAAGGCCACAGCTGCGGGATCGGCCAGCGACCCCGATCCCGGCTCGGGTCTTCAAGTAGCGCCACGCCTCCTTGCCGGCGCCGGCCAGCCTTCCACGCTCCTGCTGCCGGCTCTCAGCTTAGAGCCCAGCGCTGGGAGCTCGGCCGCTCAGCTTCAATTTCCCAGCCCCGCCCCACGCCCCGCCCCCGGCTGCAGCCCGGGCCTCCTCCCCGGGAGACTCGAGCTCCTTTACCAGTTAGTACTTTCTGGATTCCGACAGTCGCGGGCGGCCGGGGGCTGGAGGTGCGGGCTCCACGTGTATCCTGCAGCGCGTAAAGGGCCCAGGTGCGCGCAGCTACCGCGCGCGAAGCTGATCGGTCCCAAGTTCTTTTCTTCCCCTGCTAGCTACCGTCAAGGCAAGGCTTACCCCTGCTGCGGCCTGCGCGGGGCACCTGGATAGCTCATCTCCTTAGAAACTCTGGTGTTTCCCGCATCTTAGATGCGGGAAAGGCCCAGCTAGCTGCATTGGCTGGGTTGGGGCTGGAGGGGTAGCTGACCTGGGTGGGCTGGAGGTGGGCTGGAAGCATGGCCAAGACAGAAAACCTGGTTGCCGCCTCCAATTCTCCTCCCGCCTGGAAAGTGAAAGATTTGGACCAAGATCCATCCTCTACAAATGCCAACATCTCAACCACTTGCAGTCGTTCATTTTTCCTCGAATTCTTTTTTGGGGTGTGTGTTTGTTGCAAAATGCACGCTCTCCTGCCTGGACTGGATGTAACCCAAGCACTAGCTCCTACAGATGGGTTGATTAGTAAAAATAGCAAACCTCTTAAATGCTGCTTGTCTGCCAAGTGTTTAACGCACATATTTAATTTGATACTCGCAAAACGACAAAAAACGATGTGAGCCAAGAACTATACACATTTCTTTCGAAATTCACTATCTGCTTGATGGCTTTAGACATCAACTGGAAGCTAATGACTTCCCCTTTTTTATCTGCGGTTCGAAACTTTCCTTTGAACTAGTCCTACATCCTACTGCTAAGGCCACAAAATATTTACCTAAAAATAATTACTCGATGGGCTGCAAACCCCTGCGGGTGCAGTTACCCTAGGACCTCAGGCCCCTTGCAGGTCACAATCCCCACTACTTAAGGAGGCAGGAGAGGAAAGGTAGGGCGGGCCTGCAAC